ACGGAGCGACAGAGGGAAAACCATGGAGAGACATATATAAAAACCACCCCTCTTAGAGGGAAAGCCATGTAGAAGAGGCATATGTTAAAACCACCCCCCTTTTTGCGAGAAGATGATAGACTTCCGCAGCCGCGCGTATTAGTTGTCCGAATCCGCGCGCTGGTTGTCCGCCTCCTGGTTTCTAAGTCCGCATGCGCGATTGCTTCCAAAATCGCGGACGCTTCCACAGTCCTGTTCCAGCTTACAACTCCGAGCACGCAGTAGTTCCGAATCCGCGCGTAGTAGTTTCCGAATCCGCTTTTTTAGTTTCCGAATCCGCGCGTAGTAGTTTCCGAATCCGCGTTTTTAGTTTTCGAATCCGCGCTTTTAGTTTCCGCGTCCCGGTTTTGGTTTCCGAATCCGCTTTTTCAGTTTCCGAATCTGCATTTTCAGTTTCCGAATCTGAGTTTCCAGTTCCCGAATCCGGTCGCAGTAGTTTCCGAATCCCAGTTTCCGAATCCGCTTTTTTAGTTTCCGAATCCGCGCTTTTAGTTTCCGAATCCGCTTTTTTAGTTCTCGAATCCGCGTTTTTAGTTTCCGAATCCGCGCGCCACCAAACAAAGTGTTCAGGGATTAAGAGACTTTTGTTTAGTGATGTGCCCTGTCCTCAGATGCAAGAAGCTGAGCACGTTTTTTGTTGTTGCATACATGGACCTCACATTGAGCAGCACCACGTTACCAGGCATTGGTTACATTGCTGATATTCTAAGGAAGACAGTAGGCCTTTGCGTGCACGCGGGCGGGGCGGCCGGTCCGCGGTCGTGAAGCAGTCCCTGGCAAAGCGACCGATCGAGACGAAAAAAAGCCCCAAGTTGACAGCTCAGGCTGGGAACTTGCTGTCAAACATGTTGAGCAGAGAAGCCAGAGCACTTGAGCAGGCCAAGAAGCCCAGTGGCAAACAAGCGGGTGCTCAGCTGACCAATGGGGCCGGATCCCCTCGCAAGAAGAAGCTCCGCAAGAGGAAGGAGCCGTCTGCTGTCACTGCTGTCTCGGCAGCGCCGGCGCAAGGCAAAACGACCATCCTCAAGAAGCGAAGAGCTAAGAAGCTTCGCGCAGCACCCTGAGCATTCGATGCAACCGAAGGCAACTAAGTGGCCAGCAACATTCTCGAGGCAGCCAGCAGGCCTTGCAAAGCTGCGGGAGATGGGTCAATCCAGATCAAGGAGGAACAGATGCACTTGAGGAGTCATTTTCTGGAAAGTTCCGAGGCTCTCAGCCGATGATTCTAGAGACAGCTGAGACGGTGCTCCCGCATTAGATGAATCGGATGAAGGAGAGCGATGAGCGAACTGAGTGACGAGTGCCTGTGGGAAAGACCATGTCTCGGTTCAGGGCGATTCCCATCGTGCACATAGGATATGATCAGACACAACATTGAGTTCACAACTGAAAACTTGAACGAACGGACTTGCATACCATGAGCTTTTTGGGCAGGGTGCGTGTCCACTTTTCCAGGGCCCAAGTCTTGGTCCTTAGAGATCTTAAGCTTCTGTCAGCTTTATGGAAGGGCTTTTCGTTATGATTGGCTGCGCAATTCTGAGCATGTAGGAGCCTAATGTATCCCACAATCTTAGTCAGAATTTTGGGAGCCTTTTACGCAACATTCTGGGTAGCTCGAATCAACGAAAATCTGCTTTGCCCGAGACTCCTTCACTCCCCCTACAATCCCTTGAGGCTATAGGCTATAGGGGGCCCCTAGAAGTAGGAGTGTGGTGCGTTGCATAGGGTCTATATTAGGTCCCCGGCATTTGTGGAACTTCCATGTCTGCATTGGCCCACCCCCTGCGCAGCGCGTCCTCGACTTCCTCTTGCGCGAAAACCGTCTCCGACAGCAGGGCCAACAATATGCTGCAGCCCTAGGGAAGAGTTGCTTTAAAGGGGGTCCCTACATGGGGCTGTCTGAAAATTAGGGCTCCCGTTTTGGAAGTCTCTTGAGGATACTGTAGTATGTTGAGGACTATAGTGGAGCTCCTTGTTCATAGACCCCCGCCGCATAGAGTCTCACACGTAATGATCAGTGAGCTGTCAAGTCTCCAATTTGGATGAAGACCAAGGTTATCCTGCTTCGACCTTATAAGCCAGTTCAAAAGTATCGGAGACCCTCCAAGCCAAAGGATTTTTTTCAAATTGAGGTGGTAGATTCCCTAAATAGGGGAACCCCAAGATAGACCGCAATATACTATAATCCTTATTCTGGGACTCCTCAAAATGGTACACCTAATTTTAGGCAACCTCCAGGTGTGTTTGTGCTTGCAGCGCCCCTCATGGCATGGATTTCAGAATTTGTGGGTGATTGAAGACATAGCATCTATTGGCTATTTTCTGTTTCCTCAAAAGAAACCTGGAGAAAAGGGGGTCTTTATGTTTTACATGTCTTGTGTAAAGAGTAAGGAAGGAGGTTCAGTTTAGATGTTCTGTTTCTTTGGTTCCAGAAGCGCCAGGGTCTCACTTGAGGCCATGTCAGGTCACGAGAATGACCACGCAAGAAAATCCACAGTGTAAGAGGGAACCTAGCGTCCTGGAGAGAAGTTCTAAGGCTCCAAGCCCCGATATCCTGAAGTGCCATGCGCAGGTGGCAGGTGTGTTGGGTCGCTGAATCTGCTGAGAGAAGCCCCTTATCTGCCTTTTCTGCTCAAAGCCCTGCCACGTGGGGCAAGATGAGCCCTCATACCTGTCGCCTGTAGCTCAGAACCTGCCATGGCTTCTTGGTTTGCCACTTCTGCAGAGGAGCGACGCGAAGAAACTGATCAACATGCATCACGTAGTCACACAGTGGTATAATGGTTTCGCAGGAGATTCGACGCCAGCTGGAGCAGTTGGCAGGGGAATCTGGTGGAAAGTTTACTTCAGAAGATGTTGGTCTGGGCCTCAGAGCCATGCGCTCTGCTTTGTACTTTGTTATGCAGCTAAATGATTCGTTTTGAGCACTTCAAGCTTCTAGCGTCGCATCGCATTTTTCAAGAGGACCAGGCATGGATTGAAGGATCACAAGCCTTGCCACAATTACAGCGGGCGCCAACCGTAAATCAACTACAGTCTAAGTACAAGAGATGCTTTGCTTGGCCCAGCACACCTAACACACCTAACGCTTCGGTTCAAGTCGGTGCAGCACATTCCAGCCCTATTTGGCCAGTCCTGCTCAAGTTGGTCTGGAAAAGAGCTGGTTGACAATAAGTTAGAGCCTTCTGAAATATAGTTCCATTCTGCAGCTACTTGTAGCATGGACCTCCTTTGAGGTGCAATGCGTCATCGAAGACCGCAAAATGTCAGCCTACAGTTTGGTGAGATTTCATCTATTTGTTCTGAGTGAGTCCCTGCTCAGGACCCACCTCGGACAAAACCCCTGGAACCCTGAACCTAAAACACAGACTGGAGGGCCGAAAGGAACACTTGACCAAATTTGGTTAGAGACGAAAATGCCTGCAACTGTCAGGAACTTAAAGACAAGCCTTGAAGACCAAAGGCGTAGACTTGCGGCAGCCAGCTTTTTCTGAGGCCTCGGTGCCCTCTTCGAGCATGGCCAGGCAGGAGAAAGGAGTAGATTGCATGCGGCACTGCATCTCAGCATATCATCAAACAGAGCAGTGTAGACGAGTGCACCGACACCGTTATACATAGATATATATAATCTGATATAGTATACATATATGTATATAAACATACATATAAGTTTATGTATGCAATTGTACGGCAAGTGGCCAGCAGCAGGAGGAGGAGGAGTGCTGGTGCTGGTGCTGGTGCTGGTGCTGGTGCTGGTGCTGGTGCTGGTGCTGGTGCTGGTGCTGGTGCTGGTGCTGGTGCTGGCGGCGGGGGGCGGGGGCGGGGACGGTGGCGGT